AAAATACCTGTCACATATCCGGTGGATTTACGGTGGAGGAGCAGTGGAGGAGCAGTGGGGGAGCAGTGGGGGAGCAGTGGGGAGCAGTGGAATTTTTGGGGAGCAGTAATAATTTATACGGGGAAAAACACCGAAAATCATGTAAAAATCACGTGAATTTCACATTTTTGAAAAAATTGTGGGGGAGCAGGTGGAAATTTTGGGGAGCAAGCGAACCACATCCTCTCTACTATATAGTAATAAGATATATTATTTTATTACTATTAACATTATCAATAAGCTTTATACGAGATTATAACACATCATTGAGCATGGATTCTAATAACTTTTCGTTATCAACTATCACTCTGCTACAGACTAAAATTCATGTTTTACGTTTTCGTATGTCATCTTTCTTCTTCATTCTCTATAAAACACTTTTCATTTTGTTTCAGGTAAATTCTGTTATATGAGTAAAATCTTTTTTGACAACAACAGCTCACTCAAGATATAATGCTACTGGATCGGATATTGAAATGATCTTCACCCGTAACACAGACATAGAAGATGTCACGGAAGCAAATCCCGATTTTCCACAAATGAGAATAATTTACCAGACAGTAGACGAGATAAATCATCTCGGTGCAAGAGCTGCTTGCAGTAAGCATATTCATATTAACGAATTACCTTATATATATACCTAATTTTTTATATCCGTTTGATTACTTTTAGATATAAAGGGAAGAATGAAATCGATTAGCGAAACAAAAACCTTCAAGTCATCAAAATTTCTGACATTCAAACTTGATGATTCTACTAATAATGTGGTTAGTACAGTATTCGTCTAATCATTAAATTAATAATAAAACTATATAAACGTTCTTAACGCAGTATTTGTTCAGTCCTCACCGAACGCGCATACACATGTACAACTGCCAAACATGAGACAATCGCAAACTGGCGAGCGCGCGCGCGAAGTAACTTCAATTCTCAGAAATACGATATGCCGGCCGGCTCGCGTTTAGTGTAGCATACGTACGATGCCCAGTTCGCTCATGGTTTAGATCAACACAATGATTCACGCACATTCCCCTCTACTTCGCAGTTGTACAGTGTATGCGTGATTCCCAGCACCAACAGGCGCTGTCGTTCGGCGGCTCTGAGCTGCACTTACAATTCGCACAGCGCACGGCGTGTAA